ATGTTCATTGTAGCATTATTCAGAATTGTTGAAATATGCAAACAACCTAAATAGTTAACATATGTTGATGGATGAACACATCATGGATAACAATGTGGTATAAACATACAATGAAATATTATTCACATTTAAAGAAGGATATCCTGTCATTTGTGACAGCACAGATGGATCTGAAGGCCATTTTTTAAATGAAATAGGCCAGACATAAAGACAATACTCATGATCTCACTTCTGTGAGGAATCTAAGAAAATTTAAACTTATAGAAGCAGAGAGTAGGAGAGTGGTTGTCATGCCCTGGAGGAGGTAGAAATGGGGACATGATAGTCAGAGTACAAAGTTTTAGTTATGCAAGATAATAAGTTCTGGAGACCTATTATACAGAACTGCGTCTATAGCTAACAGTACTGTATTGTGTACTTAGATTTGTTAGAAATGTAGGTTTTTTAAAAAAATTTTTTTATTAAGGTACGATTGATATACACTCTTATGAAGGTTTCACATGAAAAAACAATGTGGTTACTACATTTACCCATATTATCAAGTCTCCACCCATACCCCAGTGCAGTCACTGTCCATCAGTGCAGCAGATGCCACAGATTCACTCTGTGCCTTTTCTGTGCTACACTGTTCTCCCTATGATCCCCTACACCATGTGTACTAAACATAATACCCCTCAGTCCCTTTCTCCCTCCCTCCCCACCCACCCACCCACACCCCTCCCCTTTGGTAACCACTAGTTCATTCTTGGAGTGTCTGAGTCTGCTGCCATTTTGTTCCTTCAGTTTTGCTTCATTGCTATACTCCACAAATGAGGGAAATCATTTGGCATTTGTCTTTCTCTGCCTGGCTTATTTCACTGACCATAATGTCCTCCAGCTCCATCCATGTTGCTGCAAATGGTAGGATTTGTTTCTAGAAAGGTAACTTTTATATTAAGTGTTCTTACCACACACACACATAATAATAACAATAATAGTTTTTATTTTTTGGGAGGTGATAGATGTGTTTACAGCCTTAATTGTGATGGTTTCACAGGTATATACTTCTCCCCAAACTCAACCAGTTGTATGCATTAAATATGTATAACTTTTTACATATTAATCATACTTCTATAAAGTGATATAAAAATTTGCTAAAGAACCATGATTTTAATTATTAAAGGTAGATAGAGTGCTTTAATTACCATCTCTCTTGGTCAATAATTAAAAAAACCCACTTCCCATTAAATATAGAAGGCACTAGATATTCATTGAAAAAATACATGAACCAATTAATAGATGAATTGATGACTTAATGGGTGGATGAGTAGATGAATGAATTAATCAGAGCCTATGCATTTCGTCATCATTTTCTATAATCATGAAAGTCAAATCTCTGTTTGGAGAAACACTGAAGGATGCTGGAAGGAGTGGAAAGAATTTTTTTAAAAGTAAGAAAACGCTACATAAAAGGAAAATGAAACAGAAAGAAAATAGCACTTAAAAAGTGAAACAATATAAGAGAAACTTTCTACATTTCTAAGAAGGTTAAATTAGCTTAATTGTCTCTGGTGATAAAATATAAAAGGTCAATAAATTGTCATCATAAAAGATATTGAGATCAACTCTTGTTTGCTTATTATACACAAATCCTTACTGCTTAAACATCTTTAGCATGTTCATTGTCTTTTGCAGAAGCTAAGGTAGAATGAGAAATGGTAAAGAGAAAAGGAAATAAAATACTCAAGGATACAGAGGTATTATTACAGAAGGCTTATTCTAAAAACTAGGAAATTTCAAAGTGGTAAACTTCACATGTAAATGAGATCTTTCAAGATGATAGACTGAGTATATGTATATATTTTGAAAATCCCATTAAAATTATGTTAAACTTATAAAAAAGGAATAAATTAATAACACTAACAAAAATCTGAATTCAGGAAATGGAGGAAAAATAACTGACAAAGTAAGGTGGGGGAAGCCACAGAGTAGAATAGGTTATCTCACCCTCAACAATATTGACATTTTGGGCCAGATAATTCTTTGTTGTGTGGAGCTCTCCTGTGAATTGTACAGTGTTTAGCAGAATTCCTGGAGTCTAGATACTAGATGCCAGGAGCACTTATCCTCACAGTGAACAGCCAAAAAACTTCAGGAATTACCAAACATCCTTTGGGGAGCAAAACTGTCCCTCAGCTAAGAAACACTGGACCAGACTATGGATGAAGGGAACTCAGCCAAGAAGGCAGTTCCTTTGCTCTAAAAACTCTGAGACAGACTCAGCCCTTGGAAGTACCAAATACAAAAAGAAGGGATGAACAGAGATTACAAAATCCACTCACATTTCTACACACCAGTGAAAACCAATGAGAAATGTACTTTAAAAAGGTATCAATTAAAAAAAAAGAGCACCTAGCATTAAATCTATAGATGAACAAGACCTGTAAGAAAAGCATTTTAAAACTACTGAAATATAGTAAAGAAGTCTAAATAAATGAAAGTGCTACTTCTCTCAACCTCTGTATTTGAAGCAAGTTAACCCAAAATCCCAGTATGATGGTGTATGTGTTTGGTGTGTGTTACTTGATACAGGAAAGGAAAGGCCCAAGAATAATCCACACATGCCTGAAGAAGATGATGATAAATCCAGGTGTAGTGGATTGAATGGTGGCTCCCCCAAAAGATATGTCTATGTCTGGGAACATGTGAATTTGACCTTATTTGGCAAAGGGTCTTTGCAGATCCTAAGTTAAAGACCTCAAGATGAGTCCAGGAACACCCTGACTCCACTGATAAGTACCCTTATCAGAGTAAGAAACACAGATACCCAGAGGAGAAGGCCAAGTGAACAGGAGACAGATATTGAAGTTATATAGCCATGTATCAAAGAACACCTGAATCTCCCAGAAGCTGAAAGGCAAATAAGGATTCTTTCCTAGAGCCTTCCAAGGGAACCAGCCCTCTTGATATCTTAATTTTAGATTTCTGGCCTCCATAACTGTGAGAAAATAAATTTCTACTCTTTTAGACCACTAGTTTTTGGTAATTTTACAGCAATCTTAGGAAACTAATACAATCGGTATCAGCACTTATTGTCAAACAATAGAGATTAAAGCATTATGGTATTGACACAGTGAAAAACAAGCTAATTAATGAAACAGATTTGAAGGCCCAGCAACATCACAGTTCATATATGAAACCTTTATTTGTGGCAAAGATGGCATGGCAGACCAGCCAGGAAAGGGCTGATTATTCAGGTAGTGGTACTAACAGAACTGTTTATTCATATAGGGAAAAAATGAAATTAAAGTCCTAAATCAAACACATATGCACATACCAATTCCATATAGAATTAAATGCAAAAAGGAAAAACGATTTTTTTAAAGACAATGACATCAGAATCAGAAAAATGTCTTATATGAACACAAAGGGCAGTAATAATAAAATAAATCAAGTATTTAACTACATTAAAATTCAGTACCTTGTTCATCAACATATATGATAAAGAAAATTAAAAGGCAAGCCATAAAATGGAAAAACGATATTGTCAATACATGTAATGAATAGAGGATTCATTTCTGGAAAAATGTGTTTTTAAGAATAAATTAAAAGAAGACAAAAATACTTTGAGAGATGGGAAAAAAAATCATGAGTAGGCATTTATAAAGGACAAGATACAAATAGTTGATAACCATTAATGAATCTTATTAATTAAGGAAATGCAAATTAAATCCATAATGAATTATTTTTCTATACTCATACCAATTGCCAAAGTCAATTTGTAGAAAATTTTGATGAGGAGGTAAGGCAGCATGAACTCTCATCCTCTGTTGACAGCAGTGTAAATGTCTACAAAACCCTTGGAAATCCAAAGATTGAAATCTGTCAGAGTTTCAGCATAACCTGTGACCCAGCAAACAAACCCTTTGCTTGGTTTATGACATAGAGAGGCTCTTCACATGCAGTAGGATCACATGCACTGATGTGTAAGGATGTTAATTAGCTGCACTGTTCATTAAAAAAATTAAAACAGCCCAAATGTCTGTCAAACATAAAATGAATTACTAAATGGTGGTGTATTCTTCCTAGGGCATTCTATACATAAGTGAAAATGAGTGAGCTACAGCTATATGCATCAATGTGAAATAAATCTCTTAAAACATAATATGGAGTGAAATAATGAAGTTACAGGATATAAGTCCATTTAAAAATATTCAAAAGAGACAAAGTTGCACAAATTATTATTTGGGAATACATACATAGGTTATAAAACTATGGAACAATTAAATACAAATTTGGTGGATTTGGAGAGTTAGAGTGTTAACTTCTTCACCAGTTAATTAAGAGATAATGTCTATAGCTAATCATAAATAATCATAATAATTCAGTCCCATTTCTGTAGAGCTATTGCTTTGTTCCAGACTTATTCTCATAAACTTTATGGACTACACTCTAGGCGAGTATACTAGGTTTTGCTAAACCTCTGTGGTCATGCTTTTCATGGGACAAAATAATGGAAAACTATTCTATTTGACTTTCTGCTATGATAGTTTAAGATTTAGCTTGCCTAAAATACATTAATAATTTTAAATGCCTAGATAGATGCATGTTTTCAAGGGAAACCAAAATATTTGAGGGGCATAATTAAATTTGAAAATAATATCACGAATTTTAGAAACACATTTTTGTATGTGACCTTTCACATACTTTTAAACGCAAAGCAAACAAAATGAGAAAGCAAACACTGCAATCCTATATTCTTAGGTTAAAACAGGTTAAAGAAAATGAACCAAGAAGGAAAATAAAGAGTTAAAATACAGAAAACATGTTTCAAGCAACAATTTTGAACATTTTACATATATTTATTTAATCTGCACAACTGTGTGGTCTAGATACTACACTATCCTCATTTTACAGAAGAAGAAATTGAGGCATGGACAGGTTAAGTTCTTGTAATAACCACATGCAAGTGAGACAAAAAAAATCACATCCATAAACTTCAAAAATTTCTATGGGCTTACCATTCTCTCAATCTGATGACTCCTTTCTATAAATTCTCTTGAGGTTCTTATTCCATAATTTTCTTTGTATTTTGTATTTGTGACTTTAAAAGAGGCAAGGTAATAGAATGACTTATCATCTGAAACGTAAAAATAAACAGAAGATCCATGCTTAAATACAACCAGTTCCTTGTCTTCCCATCCTGGGAAATAGACTTAATAATGTATTTTAGTTCTTCTTAGTACAAGAATTATTGTGGACCTTTTTTCAAATATTTTGTAATTTCATCATGGCACCCAGCTAAAATAGAAAATTCAGGCCTCAAAGTATACTTTCAGAATACCCCTTTTATAGTACTTAGGCATATCAAAATTTTCATGCAGTTGGACAGGAAACTTACAATGGAAAGTAAATGTTGAAAGCAAATACTAAGAGGTAAAAATTATCAATTTCCTCAAAAATTTGAACATAGGTATATCATAGCTGAGCTGTATTATGAACTGACATTGAACAGTCTATCAGTTTTTTTGTGGCACTTATCAGGTTATTTACACGGGAACCTGTGATTAATATTTTCTTTCGCTTTCTTTTTGCTCATTCACTTCTCAGTTCTCTGTAATCTATTCTTACACACCAGTGAAACTGCCATTGTTAAGGGCAATAGTTGTAATATAACGGCACCTTTTGTTTGGTCTTTTTTTTTTTCATCTTGATTTATTTGCAGCCTTAATCATGTTTCTTGAAACCTCATCTTAGACTTTATAAAGCCATCTTCTAATTTTCTTCCTTCCTCCTTGGCCATTCCTTCTCAATTATGTTAGAGAATTCTATTTCTACTTCTATCCTTAGCCACCCAATGTTCTATCCTTGGCCTGGTCATGTTAAATATCTCCTTCTGGGTGATCCTAAATGTGAATGGCCTCAACTGTCAACTATTTGTTGATGTTAATAGATAAACTGAGGCACATTTAAATTTTCAAGAGTTTATTTGAGCAAACATTGATTGAAATTGGGCAGTGCTAAATCAGAGCGGCTAGTAGACCTCCAATGGCTGGAGCTAGAGATTTCTATAAAGGTGACATGGAAGCAAAGTAAGGAAATTATTTGATTAGCTAGAATTTAGGCTGATGCTTTATGTGGGAGGCATTCTAGTTGACTATGATTGGTTGTTCTTAAACTTAATTTTCTTGGATTAGAGTGTACCGACTGGTTTAGGATTTGAGTTGCTTACATAGGCTACCAAGGTACTAGAACCAACTCAATCCAATGACCTCCTTGTTTACTTCAACAATGGATGACTCCTTAATTTTTATGTCCAAACCAGATTTTTGTCATAAGTTTCAATCTTCTATCAACTGACTTCAGATGACTATTTGTTGGACATCTAATAGGCACCTTAAATATAGTATCTCCAAAGAGAAATAATCACTTACCTCTCCCTGTACTGAAGCCTGCTCTGCTTCCTGGATTTTCTGTCTTCACGAACAACTCCATTAGCCACACAGTACCCAGAGCTTATTAGCTTCATCCCCATTTCCCACATCCAATTTTTCAGTCTCCAAGTGTTATGTATACAGCTCATTAATATGTCTTGAATCCTTTATCCCACCCAGAAAAGCTACATCCTTAATTCAGTTCTTCATCAACCACCTACCTAATTATCTGAAAAAATGACATTTCTGTTAAAAAAGAAGTCCCCCATCTAGATTCTTGATCTTAAATACTACCATTACAGTACGCTTCATCACCCAGGCTAGAAATCTTGGAGTAATCTTTGATAATCTTTAATCTCTTCTTAATTAATCAACATGATCAGACAGTGTTATCACCTAATTTTTAAAAATTCATTCTCTATTCACAAATTCTGCTGCTGGTGCTCTAGTTCATCCCCCCATTGTTTATTGTCTGGAAAATGTAAAAGGTTTCTAACTGGTACCTGCCTCAAGTTCTGTTTTTCTCAAGTCTATTCCTCACCTAATAGTAGAGTGATCTTTTAAAATTGCAAATTTGACAGTATCACTTCTCTATTAAATGTTTCCATGTTTCTCCATTGCCAGAGAAAAGGAGTCTTAACACCACTATGATCTACAAAGGCTTTTCTTGACCTAGACTCTGCCTATCTTTTAGCATATTCTTTGCAACAATTCCCTTAGGATTTATGTTGAAACCACGGCAAACTGTTTGCATTTGTCTGCAATCACCATGCTATTTTCTTTCGCTGAGATTTTGCTTATGCCAGTCCAAAGACTGCACCGTGCCTAATCCTGCTGGAGAAAATGTGGGGAACACTCAGCCTTAGCTAGGGGCTTCACAACTGTGCTGCTATACTGTTCTGCGAAGAGCTCTATTTTGCACTTGCCAATATCGTATCATAATGATCTATAGATTTCAGTCCACAGGAATATCAACTCTGTGAGAAAAGGGTTGTACCATTTTTGCGTTTGCAGAGAAAACACCATTTGAGATAATATGTGTAAAAAGAACAGTATGTCAAGGTTTATTAAGTGATAACATATCAGACAGTACTAAGTGTCCTTATTTTTATTTAATTAATTTTTCAATTTTAAACATTTTTAAGATCATAAATGCTAAATCAGAAACTCTGGAATGAACAGAAAAGTATATGCAAAAGAATAAAAACAACTTATAATCCTAACATTCAGAAGTAACTGATATTATTATTTTGGCTTATGTTTCTCTTTCTAAAAATATTGTTTTAATTGACTGATGCAGTTGAATTACAAAAGTAATTTGCCAAAGAACACCCAACTAATGTATGGTAGGCCTGTGATTAAAAGGTTCATCTGACTATGTCTCATGAGAGAATACATTCCCTACCTTCCTAGAACTGGAGCTAGTCCTATAGAATGGGAAGACAGACGATCCTACTGCAATTCAGACTTGTTAGGTTTTCAAGGAGTAAACCTATAAAAATAGCCTTAGAAAATTGAGTTTCTGGATTTTTTGTAAATTAACTCTAAAGACTAAATTCTTCAAAATATTTCATGCAACTCTTTATAAAATAGATTTGTGTTCCCCATAACAGAAAATATAACTGATTCTAAATAAACCTGAAAAAGTTAATCTGGATCATGAAAACATTTGTTGAAAAATATAACTTACTTTAACTTAATTATGACTAAGTAACCAAAAAACCAAAACAAAACATCTTGCAAACTCTATGTTTGAATTTTTCTAGTTAATATTTCATGTGAATAGTGGTGGTGGTGATTTTTTTCATTAATATTAAAAGATCTTCATATAATTATGGAGGTATTATTATGATATGTTTTATTTTTCATAAGTAGTTAATATTTTTAAGTGGCAGAGAATATTTTCAACTCATACATCTGACAATGGATTATATATATCCAGAATATAGAAAGAACTACCGAAATCAACAAAGAAAGACCGATGACTCAATAAAAATGGGGAAAAGACTTGAACAGACATTTCACAAAAACAGGAAATCTAAATGATCACCTAATTCATGGATAAGTGTCCAACATCATTGGTAATCAGGCAGATACAAATTAAAATTACAATGATGGCACTACAATCTACACCAAATTAGCAGATATATAAACTTATGGAGCAATGGGATCTCCCTACAGTGCTGATAGAAAACAGCCTCTTATTATCCATAAAGTTAAAAAGGCACATGCCTAGTGACCCAGCAATTCTACATCTGTGTATGTGCTCTGGACAAACTCTTGCATGTGTAAACCAAGATAGATGTATAAGAAGGTTCAACCAGTATTTTTTTAATGTCTAAAACATGAACCACCCATATGCCCATGAGCATTTGAATAATTAAGTAAATTAAGTCATGTTTAAGACAATAGAATATTAGTCAATACTGAAAATAAACGGACTAAAGCTAACAACAGGGTGGATGATTTCCTGCAACAGTATTGAGAAGAAACAAGGCTCCAAAAAAAAAAAGACTCCATGTATAATGTTCTTATATTTACTTAATGCCTTAACATGATTTAATTTTTAAATATTTTATTTCCCTTTGATTAAATAAAAAAGGATGATCTAAACAGAAATCCAAAGGATAAGAATCCAACAGTCTACCAGTCTTTTTATCATGATGTGTAACAAAAAGTTAGAGACATTAATTCTGTCAGGCACTTAATATTTAATTAATAACACAGTAGTCATCTTTTAAAATGATACCAAGAACTTGTAGAGTTGTAAATATAAAATGTGAGAAGAAAAAGTGGCACCTGACATCCAGGCAGTGGCCTGGTACTATCACCTAGTCCTTAGCATTTTGTTGAGCAAACGGTTTCCTAAAACATCAGTGCTAGACAAGGCCACTCTGCTATGACACAGATGATGACAAAAATAAGACCATTTAGAGTTGTGTCTCAACTCAGATAAAAACACTATTCAACCAAACAAACAAACAAACAAACAAACAAATAAGATAGAACATTTTCCTCTGCTGGATGTTATGAGTGACTGCTACTTCTCTAACAATTACAGCTTTCTTTTAACTTCACTTCATTGCTTTGCCTGACAGATAAGATTTATTAAGATACCTAATTGCAGCCTTATTCCAACTTCCTGTCAGCATCCAATATAGAGGAAGACTCACTTCCTCAAACATCCCCCAAATCTCCTCGCAGAAGTCAAATCTTTTAATACATCCATTCTTACAATCTGACAAAGTGCCCCATGGTTCCTCCTTTGCAACAAGTACTGAAGCAACCTCGTTACATCACAGATGTGTTCCTGGTGGTCTTTGGTTGGATGCCATTGACAAACCATTCGTTTTCTAAAGTCATTGAATTATTCTAGAATGCTTGTTTGAAAATATCCCATATGTTAGGGAGTAGAATTATAATACAGTGGAAGCTGCTTATTCATAATTATTGAAATTCCCTAGGATAAAAGTCACTATCAAAGTTACTTCAATCCTGGTGATGTAAATTTCACCAACAGTCTGCTAAAATGCTTACTTCTATTTTTGTCATTTCATATATTTCATTATTTTTAGTCTCCTGCCTCTCAGGTCCATTTATTTCCTGTCTTTAAAATTAATATTTTTAAAATACTTTTCTTCTTGGTTTTATCCTGGCTACTACAATGTGATTTCCTTCACTGACTTGGTTTTGATTTCTTTATGCTATAAAAATATGTACATTATAGTTTTGATATGTATATGTCATTTTAGAGACTTGTATCTTTCCCCTTCCATTTATTTATTCTCTATCATAGCCCAAGTTCTCCTTTGTTTTACTAAATTTCCATCTATAATTGTGCAGCTCTCATAATTGCATGGAAGATCCATGTGACAGGGTCCTCAAATTGTTGAGTGTTAACCTCTGTAGTAGTTTCTTACTGCCTCTGTAACAAATTACCACAAATCCAGTGTTCTCAACAAAAATTTGTTTTCTTACAGTTCTGGGGTCAAAAATTTGAAAAGAGTTTGCAGGGTTAAAATTAAGATGTTGGCAGAGCTGGCTCCTTCTGGAGACTCTAAGAGGGTAATCTTTGTCCTTGACATTTTTGGTTCTGAGGAGTGATATTCATTCCTGGCTTGTGGTCCCACTTCACATTGTTCCTGTCCCCCCACTGCCATCACATAGCCTTCTTCCTCCCTTGATATTGCCTTTCTCTTATAAAGACCTTGGAGGGCCCATCTGGAAAACTTAGGGACCATCTAGAGAGTCCACAATAATCTCTCCTTTCCAAGATCCTTAATTTACATCTGGAAAATCAATCTGGAAAATCTCTTTTGCTGTATGGGTAACATATGTTCCAAGATTAAGACATGGATTAAGACCTTAGAAGTGGGGGGGTGGTATGATGAGTATTATTTAGCCTACTACCATGACATTTTTAAAAATACTTTTTTGTTATTATTTTTATTATCTGTTTACTTTTCTTTTTTGAACACTTGTAGCACTGAGGCGGAGGGCATTTTAAACACAAAACTACTTCACTACATTTTAACCCAAAGAAGATATTAACAAGAAAAACACAATTAAAGAGGATAACTTGATTCATGAGTTTCTAAAAAAATGAGTCTAAAAAATGGATATTATCAATCCCCCAGTAAAGTGGGTAGGAAAGTAAACTGATCATGTTAGACAATATTTCCTCTCTTCCTGGAAGGTCTTTCAGAATTCTGTTTCCTTTTCTTTCCCCAGTCATAACACAATCTTTTCTTCCTTCAAAAATAATGTTTAATCTTTAGCCCTTTAAAGATTTTTTTAGGTATTCTTATTATATCAGCTGTCCTTGGGGTAACTCCTTAATATATTGATTTTGAAAAAAAGTATATTAAATTCAACACATGATGTAATTTGTCTTTATTCTGAAGATAATTTTTTGACTCTTCTTGCTCATTTTAAATATGTATTTCTTTTCGATGTGTCTGTCCATGTAATAGTTTATATTGCAAGCTTCACTGGTTGGAAATATGTAACACACAACTTAATACTGGAGCAAATTATAATTTAAATCAGTAAATGATTAGTAATTAAAATGTTAATATAATGCAAATTACATTTTTTATACAACAGAGAATTTCAAGAAATTAAGTCATGGCACACTTAAGGCACACTTAATAGAAATGTGACCTGGATACTCACCCTCAACAACAAAATGAGTAACAATACCAATTGCAATTCCTATGATTGCTGCAATTGCCAATGTAAAAAGAGCTAGACGTATAGGGTCCCAAAATTGCTGTCTTCTTTGATATTTAACTTGTGGAAATTCAGCCTCTGAAAACTCAACTGGTCTGTGATAACAGAAATAAACAGTAAAACAACAAAGAAAATCATTATGGTTCTACTTTATGTTAACTTGCTATGTTCCTCTAAGAAAAAAGTTTATACTTCTAAATAACAATAGTATACTCAGATCTTGAAAAGAATACAAGGTTTTAACTCCCCAACACTCCAGTCACTCTGTAAATTTTGATTCAAGTTCTGATGTTGACATTCAAGTGAAGATATCTTCCCACTGCATTTTATCTGACACATTGGCAATTTTGGGTGGTGAAATACAAAGACTCACTTAATAAACTGGTAATTTATAACTATCACTTTCATATTTCAATAAGGAAGTTTTTAGCAATAAAGTTATCTATTAATCTCTTTAGTTCTGCTTGATTAAAAATATTTTAATATGAATACTTTTTGAATGACCTTAAATTTTTTAATGACTTGTGTATATACAAGTGTGTATGTATGTGTGTGTGTGTATGTACTTGTGTATATCTTAATGGCTTGTACATGATATATCATGTACATAAATATGTACATACACACAGTGGAATATTACTCAGCTACGAGAAAGAATGAACTCTTGCCATTTGCAATAACATGAATGGACCTAGAGGGTATTATACTAAGTAAGATGAGTCAGGCAGAGTAAGACAAACACCATAATTTCACTTATATGTGGAATCTAGAAAAACAAAACAAACAAATGAAAAAGAAATGGAATTATAAATACAGAGAACAAACTTGTTGCCACTGGGGAGAGGGTGGGAAGACAGGTGAAATAGGTGAAGTGTATAAAGAGGTACAAAATTCCAGTTACAAAACAAGCATGTTATGGGAATGAAAGGAGCAGCATAGGGAATATAGTCAGTAATATTATAATAAATTTTGACAGTGACAGATGGTAACTACACTTTTCATGGTTGAATCATTATGTTGTACACCTGAAACAAATATAATACTGTATGTCAACTATACTTCAGTTAAAAAATTTTCCTTAATGACTTGTTTCAAAAGTAGCAACGTTACTTTAGAAGATGTGTTCTTTGCATTTTGTTAGCCCCTTCCAATGAAATCCAAAAGTTGGCCTTTATTACTTCATTTTTCCAACCCACAAATAAGATCTAATACTTGATATCTTGCTAATGAGTTATTTTTGAAAGGTTTTATGTTTTTATTTAATCTAATAAATGTTTACTATAAACTTTATGCATTAAATAAGATGATAGTCCTTAGAATAGTACCTATCACATTATAGCAATGTTTCAAAACTATTCTTGGCCCATAGAAGTATAAATATTTTAAGGTAGAGTTTTTGCCTTTAGGACACCCACATCTTAAAAGGGGATAATAGATATGGAAACAAGTAATTAATATATAGTATGAACTGTATCAAAATAAAACTGCAAGAAGATAAAGCAATTAACTTTTTGGAGGACTGTGAATGTTAGGGGATTTTATCAGGAAGGTAACATGATTCAATTATGAGTATTAAATTTTCTCCTGGTATAAAAAAGAATATAAAAAGTTCTCAGACTTATTAAGACTTTTATTGACTCCCCATCTTCTGCAGAGTTGATTTCAAGCTGTTTACTTTAGGTTATGAGACTCCTCATGAGCTGGTCCAGCCCACCAATCTTACCAGACTCTTTTCTGGTACAGCAGAAAATGACATGTCCAAAAACCTCCACAAAAGTGTAGGATGCAAAACAGCTTTCATTACTGATATAGTTGTCCTTCTTTGTCCATAGAGGATATGTTCCAAGACCCACTGTGGAGGCCTACTCTTTTTTTTCCTCTACATATAAATCTATGAAAAAATTTAATTTATAAATTAGGCATAGTAAGAGATTAACAATAGTAACCAATAATAAATAGAACATATTATGCTACAGTAAAAGTTCTGTGAATGTGGTCTTTCTCTGTTTCTCTCTAAAAACATTGTACTGTAACTTACCCTTCTTCTTGTGATGATTGGAAATGATAAAATGACTATGTGAAGAGATGAAATGAGGTGAATAATGTAGGCATTGTGACAGTGTTAGGTTTCTATTGACCTTCTGATGATAAATCAGAAGGAGAATCATCTGCTTCTGGACCTTGACTGACCATGGGTAACTGAAACCATAGAAAGTGAAACCACAAATAAGGGGGGACTAGTGTAATTGGTGCTGGGAATAAAAAATATACATAAAATATGGCATTTGCCCTCAAAGAATTTATGGTCTCTCAAAGTCTGTTCACAATTGCAAGTCTTTCACAGCACTCTTGTATCAGAAAGAGGGTCTGGTAAGAATGGTGGGCTGGACCAGCTCATGAGGAGTTCCATAACCTAAAGTAAACCATCTTGAAATCAACTCTGCAGAAGACAGGGAGGCAATAGAAGTTTTAATGAGACTGAGAATTTAGAATAATCACAGATGCATAAATGTAGTTGGATTTTAGAGCGAGACTGAAGACAGGAAGACAAGTTTAGAGGTCATTTTGAAGATTCAGGAAAAGATGGTGAGGACCTGAGCTAAAGCTGAGGCAGTGGGGTGGAGAGAAGGAGATGGATTTAGCTCCAATTCTTAAGCTGTATGGACTGGTTGTTAAATTGTAGGAGAAGAAAAGGGTTACTGGCTCCCTTGTTTTGATGTCCAGGTAAATGATTGTGCCTCCTGGAAAAATGAGAAAGATTAAGGAAGAGACTATGTTTCCAATTCAGACATCAGTGTTGTTAATAATGAGCAGTGTCTGTCTTGGGTTTAAGCCAATGGAAAGTACTCATTTTATGCCCTTTTCTCTTTGACTCATTTTATTGCAGTTGTGTCACTAACACCTGTTTGCATGACTTCAATAAAAAATAACTGTTAAGGCTGATATTATACAACCCAAGAAAACAAAAAAGTTACTAATGTCCCCTTGCAATACCTTCCTCCCACCCATAATTGAATTCTCCATATCCAGAATCTATGGCATTAAGTATCCTTGCTTATGTAGTTTGTGGATATTTTGGTTGCTGCAATCTTTCTTCTCACTTTCTTTTCCCCTAAGTTTTTTCAATTTGGTTGCTATGCCCTGAGCCTTTCAAGATGCAAGAAATGACAAAAATCAAATTCTATCAAATATGATGGTGACAGCCACATATGAAGTCATGATAATATTGCATCTTATTAAAGGAGAATTTTCAAAACCATGGTCATATTTAATTTTAAAATAAATTTACTCTGGTGATCAGCTATTCTCATTTTCATGTAACTGTAACAGTAGCTTTATCTTACGGAAGTGAAATAAGTTTTACCAATACTCATTCTTGCTTCCGAGCAGAGCTGGCAGAAGCATTAGGCCCATACTGGCTAATTGCAAAGGAAGTGTTGTTCTCCCTAGTCGGGGAAAATACGGTCATAAAACCCCAATAAAATATTCAGAAAATTTTTTAAAATCTGTTTTTTAGGCTGTTACAAAGTGTTTGTGATGAGCCATGACAAACAAAACAAAATGCAGTCAAGGCAGTTGAATGGGTGAAATAAACTTTGAGAACGTGGCTATGGTAAGTTAGAAAAGATTATTTTAAATTTTAACTGGTTCAAACTTTGAACAAGATCGTTTTATTTTGTTGACATTTAAAATCACTTTATATATCCCTATATGTGTATTCTGATTTGTACATGACAATTATTTCCTCATTTAGGTCTGAATCTGAATCTGATGTTAAATGGAATTTTTTAACAGCCTTATATTGAACATTGCAGTGCATCTTTTAAAAGAGAATTAAACATAAATTTGTTCTGTTGTATCTGTTTAAGAAAGAATTAAGCATCACTTTGTTCTTTAATGTTTATTACTGAGATAGAAGGGTAGTTTGTTTTGCCTTGTTTTATTTTCTTCATGTTAAAGTAAAATGAAAACAAAAAATGGGAAATATAAATGCAGAAGGAAAATATTACTCAGATTTACTCCTCCATTTAAGCAAACATTTAAGGTTAAATGGAAAATGTTGGTATATTTCAGGATAGACATAAACACAAATCAACTGGGTTTAATGCTGGTTTTGCTACCAGAAAGTTAGTTAAACTCTGTGATTCTGTAAAATGAGGAACAAAAGCATTTCATGGCTTTGTTAGGACCAAAAATAGTACAAATAAATAATATTAAGTAACAAATCAGATGGTAGCCCTGTTTGTTTCCTTCGCAGAAACAAATGACTTTTTTTGCTCTTTTATTATGCTTTTGGTCTTGTCTCTAAGTACAATTCTTCAGATGATCTGACAGTTTATATTAAAATACATTTCCATATTTTCTCCAGAGTTATCATGTAAGTCAATACAATTACTTTCCAAGTTAATCATGCAATATTTTTCTTTATAATTTGTGAAAATCATTGTTTCTGGATTTCTTGCAAAATTAGTAATAAACTTATGTCTAGATGCATAGACATCAGGAACATAAATCTTTTAGTTGTCAATGCAAATATTCTTTGACTAGTTCAGCGGGTTCCACATACCAACCACTCAGTAACATTAAAATAAAACCATGATGCTCAGTCCAATGACAACAATCTCAGAATATTTAAAATGAAACTCATACCTTTATTCTAACAAACTTCTGGGAGAATAAGTTATCCTTTAATGCTTCACTGGGGATACCAAATAAAAATGGCATTGTATGACATCACAGTAAGTGTAGTGATGATATATAAAAGAACCATAATGTTTAGAAGTTCATAACATTTTTAAAAATCCATTAAAATAAAAAAAATACAGAAACTAAACCATTTGGTAACCTGAATAGAAATAAAAATTGAATGGTTTACAGTAATGAAGTACATCTGGAAATAATATTTGAAAAGCATAAAATTTAGCATCAGAAATCCAAGGCTCAAGCCTTTGGTCACATATTGAGCCTGTTATCTTATTGTCTCTGATTCTAAGAATCCCTTGTCTGCTAAATTAGGACAATAATATCCCCCACCTCTGGGTTGTTGTAAGGATTTTTAAAAAGTTGTATATGAGATATTTAATAATTTCTGAAG